GGGTCTGTGGCCGTGCGGGGGGACACAGGCGGGTCTTTCCATGGGGTGCGACGACAGTCTGACGCTCAGCTGCCTCMGGTCTGGGGCAGCCCTTTCGCATCTCGAGCCTGACGAGCGCATCCGCGCTTGGCGTCCCGTCAGCGACATCCTCCATCGCCTTTTCTGCTCCGCTGTTGCGTCGGGCGGCGGCGGGCATGGGCGCAGGGGCTTCCTCTCGTCGACAACTGTCATCTGTGGTTCGATTGTCTCCGCTTCGACATCTCGTATCTGCGTCCTGCGTCAGCAAGTGGCCAACGCCGTTTGCGCTGAGCCCCTGTCGAACAGTTGCGCCATAGTGTGCGCTTCGCCGTCGTCGAAGAACTGCGCCTCCTCGAAGAACTGTGAGCCGTCAAAGAGCAGCGCCATCGTGTGCGTTGTGCCCTCTTCAAGGTAAAGTGTTGTTCGACCTGCCCTCGTGTCAGGCATGTTTGTCGGCCCATGGGAGCGGCCGTGTCGCGCCACCTGTTTCAAGTCGCGAGCGGCCCCGTGATTCTTGCTTGCCATCATCATCATCATCATCGCCCCCATCATCACCATCATCGTCGCCACCACCATCAGCGTCATCATCTTCATCATCATCATCATCATCACCATCATTGTCATCGTGATCATCATCATCTTCATCAGCATCATCATCATCATCAACAACATCATCATCAGCCTCGTCAACGTCATCAACATCGTCATCATCATCGACATTATCATCAACATCATCAACATCATCAACAACATCATCATCATCAGCGACATCGTCGCCGTCACCGAAATCACCGCCATCGTCCTCTTCGTTGTCATCGCCATTATCAACATCGTCATCATCGTCGTCATCACAATCATCATCATCACGAACATCATCATCGACGTCACCTTCGTCATCAACATCGTCATCATCGTCAGCGACATCGTCGCCCAGATCAACATTACCACCGTAATCGTCACTATCATCGTGTTCATCACCGTCGTCATCATTTTCCTCATGTCGTGCCACATGTCGCAAGTGGCTGGGACGGCGGGAACGGATGACGTGGACATCGGGGCACACGATTTGTGTGTCCCGTTCTGCTTCTCTCTCATTCGTTCCACTCGACCGCCCCCACGACTCTTGTTTGGCTTGGCATTGAAGAAAAACTGTCGTTGATCACAAGCTGGGCATTGCAAACCACTCCCCCGCGGTCGAGGCAAACACGAAATCGCCTATTCCCAGCGGAACACGAAACCCCTTCGAAACACTTCCCTCGCTCGTTTGCTGTTCTCAACAAAGAGATTAGAGGTTGGTTATCACAAAGGAGACGCTACGTGCGACCACTGTTGGTACTAAGCGTCGCGCGGTGGCCACGGTGGGAAGGATGTCCGCCGTCCACGTGGCGTGCAGTGAGAGGTAAGGTATTCATTAACAGGAGGGGGTCGTCGTTCCGTGTTCGTGTTCTCGCCGCAACACTTGATCCTCCCTCCCCGAAGAGACTATGGCGTCAATCCCGGGAGAGTTGCTGTCGTCTCCATCCCGCGCACACGACGTGCACATGATCCACCATAGAGGTCATGGATGTCGACCGCGCGCTCCTGGCGCTGGTCGTGAAGGATGCGATATCGCATTCCGCACGACAAATATCAGGACTGTGCGTGCAACATCCGCGGGCTCCAGAACGAAGAACGCACACGTTGCTTGCGCGCGATGGAGAACGTCTGCGCCGCTCGCTGCAATGACGATGTCGTTTCTTCGGCGTGAGCGCCGCATGTTTCGTGGCGACAACCTCGACACGAAAACATATCCTCGTTCAGTAACGAACAATCCGGCCGCCTCCGGAAAACGTCTCAGTCATCGGGGCAAGGGGGGTCGCCATTGTCACCGCAAGCTCGAAACCAACAACAGCCAAACGAAAAACGACGCGTGGCGTGTGGTTGCCTGGCGAGATGGGAAGTTCGGATTCCGACGAACTACAACAATCATGCGCAGTGCTCTCGGAAAAGCAGCAATCTGTTGTGGTCGCTCGACCGCAGGGAGAGCACGCGCAGGTGTGAAAATAGCGCATGATTGTTGTAGTTCGCCGGGATCCGAAGTTCCCATTTTTTTGGCGGTTGTTGGTTTCGCGTTCGCAGTCACAATGCTATCCCGGGTTGCCCTGATGACTACGTTTTGCGGGACACAGTTCCCACCTTTCGGGCGTGGGGTCGATAGTTCATAACGCCATGCCAGTTTTCAGCGTGCGGCGAAGTTCGGATTCCGGCAGACTTGCAATCTGAAGCATGCAAAGTCGGGAGCTGCTCGGATGATTATTGTTGTTACGACCGCGTCGCTGAAATAAGACGCTTACGGTTTGTATGGATCTTTTCAGAGTCCTGGTTGCATGACTGTTCGCTTTGTTGATGAGGAGAATTGGGGTCCATGGGGGTCTATTGGGGGCTGCGCTGCGCCAATTTCCGACGTGGTGCACCTGCGACGACCATTTCTGTTCTGCGTGCTCTGTTGGAACAAACACTTGTGAGCAGCAGCAGGGCCTCCCTGAACATGCAGCCAAGCCTAGCGTTCCTTCTGTGCAATTCCACACCGGTCATCCAAATATCCGTCGTCCCCCGCGCAAACTGGTTCCTGGCCAATCCAGAAGCGCCAAGTTCGGATCCCGGCGGACTTTGAGGTCCCTCGTAAATTTAACCGCCATTTTCGACGGCCACGACTGTCGAGTGCGTTCTGATTACCAGAGGCCTCCGGGCACGCAAAAGTGCTCGCATGAGGCCTGGAGCTTCAAGTGTGAGTTGATTGCGCGAGGACTGTGGGTGTGAAAAATTGCTCACCTTCTGAGATGCCCTTCGAGGGGTTTGTGGGGGTTGCCGACAGTGATAGCGGTCGTGTCCCTTGTCTATGTGCCGTCGATCTTTGTTGCCCCCAGAGGGTTTTGACCGTCCCGGTGCGCGGATTCTTGTCGCACACATGTCGAATCGGGGCTTGGAAGGGTTGCAGGGGGGGTCGCCTTGTCGACTGGCCGAATCGGGGCTTGGAAGGGTTGCAGGGGGGGTCTTTCATCAGTTTCTACATATTTCTTGTATGTGCGGTTGGGATGTCCGATCTCGATGAACTCTTACGCTAGGGGTCAATTTGGGGTCGCGCTGCGCCCGATTTTTTGGTGTTGCATCCACCGCTGCCCTTTGCTCTACGCGTGCTGACGTTCAACGACAGCTTGAGAGTTGCAAAGCCTTCCTTCTGTGCGGCCGAGGATAGCGTTCCTTGTGTGCACCCGCTGGCGCTCCGTTCCACTGACACCGGACACACAAAAACAGGTTCCTTGCTACTCCCGCACCGGCCAAATTCGGATCCCGGAGGACTTCGAGGCGCTGCATGAATCTGACAGTTGTTTTCGACGGCTTGGACTTCTCCGTCCGTTTTCAATGCCGGCGGCCTGGTATTGCGCAAAATTGCTCGCCTTGTAAGTTGCCCTGAAAGGGGTTTATTGGGGTTGACGACGGTGTTGCTGGCCGACTCCATTTCCGGTGTGCCGTGGATCTTTGTTCATCGGCACCCCAAATTGCGGTGCGCCCGAGCAACGCCTGCTTCTGTGCAAACGCCATCCATCCGTTACGAATGCAGGCGAATCCACCAAGTTCGGATTCTGGCGGACTTTGATGATCGACGCGAATCTGTCTGTCCTTTGCGTGGCGCCTGGAGCTTCGAGTGTGAGTTGATTGCGAGAGGACTCTGGGTGCAAGAAATTGCTCGCCCTCTGAAATGCCCTTCAAGGGGTTCATGGGGGTTGCCGAAAATAAGGGACACGACCGTTGTCACCGTCGGCAACCTTCATTAACCCCTTCGAAGGGATTTATGAAGGCGAGCAATTTTTCGCGCCCACGATCTTTGTTGCCCCCCTAGGTTTTTGACCGTCGCAGTGTACGGAGTCTTGTCGCACAAACGGGGGTCGCCTTCTAGACTGGCCGAATCAATGTTTGGAAAGGTTGAAGGGGGGATCTTTCATCCTTTTCTACATTTTTCTTGTCTACGCAGTGGGGATGTCCGAGTTCGATAAGCTCTTGCGCTAGTACCTGTGAATGGAAAACTGCACGAGCTCGCTTAGACGATGGTGGGAATCGAGTTTATGGTGGTCAGTTTGGGGTCACGCTGCGCCGAATTGTGTGGTAGTGCATCCACCACTACCCTTTGTTCTGCGCGTGCTATCGTTCACCGACAACAGAGCCTTCCTTCTGTTCACCCAAACATGGCGTTCCTTGTGTGCACCCACTGGCGCTACCTTACACTAACACAAGCCGTGCGAAAACAGGTTCCTTGCTACTCCTACACCCGCCAAATTCGGATTCCGGCGAACTTAGAGGCTCCCCGTAAATCTGACCGTTATTTTCAACAGCTTGGACTGCCCAGTCCGTCTTCAATGCCGGCGGCCTGGTAGTGCGAAAAAGTGCTCGCCTTGTGAGTTGCCCTGAAAGGGGTTTATTGGGGTTGACGACGGTGTCACTGGCCGGGTGCATTTCCGGTGTGCCGTGAATCTTCGTTCATCGACGCCCCGAAATGCGGTGCGGCCGAGCATCGCCTGCTTCTGTGCAAACGCCATCCGCCCGTTCCAATACCTGCAACCGTGAAAAAACCTGTTACTCGCTGCAGGCAAATCCGCCAAGTTCGGATCCTGGCGGACTTTGAGGATCGGTGCAAATCTATCCGTCCTCTGCATGGCGCCTGGAGCTTCGACTGTGAGTTGATTGCGAGAGGACTGCGGGTGAGAGAAATTGCTCGCCCTCTGAAATGCCCTTGAAGGGGTTCATGGGGGTTGCCGAAAATAAGGGATATGACCGTTGTCACCGAAGGCAACCCCCATAAACCCCTTCAAGGGCATTTCAGAAGGCGAGCAATTTTTCGCACCCACGATCTTTTCTGCCCCCCCAAGGGTTTTCACCGTCGTGGTGTGCGAAGTCTTGACGCAGACATGCTTGTGTTTCTACGTGCTGTCTGGTTCGCGTTGTCGCACATCGACGTTCCCGGAGCGCGAATCGGGGGTCGCCTTCTCGACTGGCCGAATCAATGTTTGGAAGTGTTTAAGGGGGGTTCTTTCATCCTTTTCTGCATTTTTCTTGTCTGCGCAGTGGAGATGTCTGTGTTCGATAGCTATTGCACTAGTGCCAGCGAATGGAACACCGCACGAGCTCGCTTAGACGATGGTGAGAATCGGTGTTTATAGGGGTCTGTTTGGGGTCGCGCTGCGTCGAATTGTGTGGTGGTGCATCCACCACTACCCTTTGTTTTGCGCGTGCTATCGTTCACCGGCAATAGAGCCTTCCTTCTCTTCGCCCAAACATAGCGTTCCTTGTGTGCACCCACTGGAGCTACCTTCCACTGACCTAAGCCGCGCGAAAACAGGTTCCTTGCTACTCCTGCACCCGCCAAATTCGGATCCCGGCGAACTTAGAGGCTCCCCGTGAATCTGACCGTTATTTTCAACAGCTTGGACTGCCCAGTCCGTCTTCAATGCCGGCAGCCTGGTAGTGCGGAAAAGTGCTCGCCTTGTGAGTTGCCCTGAAAGGGGTTTATTGGGGTTGACGACGGTGTCACTGGCCGGGTGCATTTTCGATGTGCCGTGGATCTTCGTTCATCGCCGCCCCGAAATGCGGTGCGGCCGAGCATCGCCTGCTTCTGTGCAAACACCATCCACCCGTTCCAATACCTGCAGCCGCGCGAAAACCTGTTACTCGCTGCAGGCAAATCCGCCAAGTTCGGATCCTGGCGGACTTTGAGGATCGGCGCAAATCTATCCGTCCTTCGCATGGCGCGTGGAGCTTCAAATGTGAGTTGATTGCGAGAGGACTGCGGGTGCGAGTTGCTCGCCCTCTGAAATGCCCTTAAAGGGGTTCATGGGGGTTGCCGAAAGTAAGGGACATGACCGTTGTCACCGTCGGCAACCCCCATAAACCCCTTCAAGGGCATTTCAGAAGGCGAGCAATTTTTCGCACCCACGATCTTTTCTGACCCCCAAGGGTTTTGACCGTCGAGGTGTGCGGAGTCTTGACGCAGACATGCTTGTGTTTCTGCGTGCTGTCTGGTTCGCGCTGTCGCACGTCGACGTTCTCGGCACGCGAATCGGGGGTCGCTATTGCACTAGTGCCAGAGAATGGAGCACCGCACGAGCTCGCTTAGACGATGGTGAGAATCGGTGTTTATAGGGGTCTGTTTGGGGTCGCACTATGCCGAATTATGTGGTGGTGCATCCACCACTACCCTTTGTTCTGCGCGTGCTATCGTCCACCGACAACAGAGCCTTCCCTCTGTTCGCCCAAACATAGCGTTCCTTGTGTGCACCCACTGGCGCTACCTTCCACTGACACAAGCCACGCGAAAACAGGCTCCTTGCTACTCCTGCACCCGCCAAATTCGGATCCCGGCAAACTTTGTGCCCTCAACGCATAAATCTGACCGTGCTTACAGTTTGCTCCGCTGTTTTGCAGGGTGTGGACACGAATTCGAACGACCCGTTTGACCCGCACAAGAGAGAATAATCCATTGCGCTGACGGGAATCGCATCCTCTGCACCGACGGTTGCATGACGGCGCCGAAGAAGGCTCGGCGAACGGCCGCATGAACCGGGTTAAGCCGTCGACTTGCATTGCCAGCTACAACACCTGGAGTTGGCCCCGACGACCTGTTCGGACAGTTCACCGTTCCAACAGTCAGCTGCGGATTTCGTGAGAGCTTTGGAGGTTGCATCCAACTGCCCACAGAATTGGCAACAACGTCCGCAGCCGAAGAACTGTCTACCTCCCAGATAGAGTTTCACATTCCTGGCGAGGTGCACCCCACAGCTTCGGCGCACGGCAGTTGCGTGCCAATGGGTGTTTCTTACGCATCGTCTGATGACGAGAGTGAGCGGTTGGTGGCCACTGATTACTCGTCAGGACAACGGTCCTATTCCAGTGAACCTTTGCTTCGCGCTAGCTCCAGTACTACGAACTTGGTTGTCACCAACTATTCTTCGGAGGAGCTTTCCACAGCACGGGCGAGTCCAACGCATATGCGAAGTGATGATGCGATTCCAAGTCAGAGCGAGTCTGGGTCGGAATCGTCTGGCAGGGGTGATGCAGAGAGAAGGGCGATACTGCAGATTTTGCCCGCACCTCTGCCAGGTGAAAGACGAAGGTATAGCATGGCTAATAAGAACGCGAAAGAACAGTACAAAAGAGCGAGAAACATGCTGTCCGGAAGAAGACTGCTCATGGTGCGCGGCATGGCATGTTGCAAGGCTCGATGTTGTTACGACGTGTCGCCTGAGGACGTGTGAAAGGTTAGACAAGGACTGTACAGTAAGAGTCCGAGAGAGCGAGCTGAGTGGTGGATGAAAAGTATTAAGGATTTCACAGTAAATGAGAGTGGACAGAAACGTGTCCGCCCTGTGGAGTTGGAACGTTCAATATGCATCAGGGCGTACTGCAATGCACTCGGTGTCTCACGTAATACATTTTACAGCTACAAAAAACATTTCGACAATGGCTACGTGCATTCCGAGCATGGCCTGACGGGAAAATATAGGCCAACCAATAAAACGGTCACCATGCTTCCCAGCATGAGAACGTTCATCGAGTGTCATGCGGATAGCATGCCGAATGAGGTGGCTAACCAAGGTGGGGTTTCCAGACCGAAGCTTCGACTCCCGGCTGCTTTCACGAAGAGATCAATTTATGAGTCCATCAAATCCGACTTTCTGGCCGCTGGCCTCGATGTCGTGTCTGAGTCCAATTTTATAAGTTGTGGCGGAAACACTTTTTCCACATTTCCCTCGCGCAATCTAACACGTTCACGAAGTGGGCCGTCTGTTATGAACTGAAGGAACGTATACAATATGTTGCTCTTCCTCGAGATCGAGAACGTGCTTGAGAGGATATGAAAGCACACCAAAGGAGGCAAGTTGAACATTGATTGGACTACAGTCGAGCGAAAACTGATTTCATGGTTCGTCCGAACGAGCGTTTGTATCTCATCATTGACGGCATGGATCAGAAGAAAACAACTATCCCCCATATTGGTGAAACGAACCACTCGAAAGCACTTAGGCACGAGATGATGATGAAGACTAATCTGACAGGCGTCATTGCACACGGCAGAGACCCTAGTATATATGTGTACACGTGGTTTCCGTATTTCAAACACAATTCCAACACGGTCGCTACTTGTGTTATGAGAACCCTTGTCGAAATTCAAGGGAGCGGGACGCCACTGCCACGGTTTTTGCGCATTCAAGGAGATAATTCAATGTATGACAATGACATATCAGTTTCGTCTTTAAAGTCACATAAATTGTCAAAGTGTGATAGAGTCAAAAATTATCGAAGTGTCACAGTGTTGGAATCCATCCTTAAATCACACCGAACAGACTGAGTGTCACGTCTTTTAATAAGTATGTAGTACATAAATTATCGAGGTGCGATGAAACCCATAGTCACTGTACTTAAACCGTAATCTCGTTTGTCGTGTCATTCGTTTGTCGTGTGATTCGTTAAACTTTGTCGTGATTAGTATACATTTAATAGAGTTAAAGCAAAAATTATCAAAGTGCGACGAAATTCATACTAGACTA